TTTCATATACGCATACACATATGTACTCACTTTCACACTACACATTCATATTCACATATTTACATTCACATTGCAGGCACTTGTACACACACACACACACACACACGCACACCAATCTAATCTTTAATAATCTCTAGTTATAAGAGAAGCAATAATAACAGTAACAGTACAGAGTGACGCTCGTGGTATATTACACTGAGAAATCAAGTGATGATAAGTGTAGGAGAGGAAATGAGTTTTGTTAAGCTTATGTAAGGTGATCTCTCTCTCTCTCTCTCTCTCTCTCTCTCTCTCACACAGCCAATATCAACACTTTTTCCCTCACAACTAGATCATATTATCCTCCTCCTCCTCCTCCTCCTCCTCCTCCTCCTCCTCCTCCTCCTCACGTCCTTCCTATTCCGTATCTCTATCATGTACCTTTATATAACCTGTACTATTATATATCCTATAATCTATGTATCATCCTGTGTCTCCAAATATCACGTAACCTTTATATGTTAAGTATACGGACGAGTTAACACGACGATGCAGGTGTTAGGTGAGCATCTGTTGGTGGTTATAGGGAGCGCCACGTTGGGGTCCGGACTAAATCCCCCGGACTAAATGCCCCTGGACAAAACCCCTTCAGTTAAAGTGCAAAGTAGGACAAAAGCCATTCAGTTAAAGTGCAAATTGGGTTAGGTTAGGTTAGGTTTCGTGAGATTTGATTTGGTTAGGTCAGGTCAGGTTCGGTTCATAAACTGTAAACTGGAAATAATTGAGAAGAAAAGTAATGACATAAAAATTCTTATTATTATTTGTTCTAGGAGGCTTTTGTCCGGTGTTTTGTCCTGGCGGCTTTTGTCCGGAATTTCGTCCTAGGCCCCGGGGCTTCTGTCCGGGGGGGGAGGGGGGTTGTTCAACACTCCACGTTATGTTGTCCGGGGGTGCCGCAAGGTGAATTATTGTGACCTAACCTATATCAACACACTAACTATACTGTATATCTCACTGTCACAACCCATATATAAGAGTCAGTCACCACTTAATCACTGTAATGTTTTTTAACTTTTTTCAGCTGTATACTTTTGTTGCGTAAAATATCAATAGTTTATATTTATTTGAATTTATGATTGATGGTTGACGCTACACGGACGAGTTTTATAGGTAATATTTGAATTTGTTCTTATCTTCATTTCTCTCTTTTTTAATCGTCTTGTTTCTTCTCCTTTTCTATTTTATCTTTAGTTTCCTTCTTCTTCTCTCTCTCCTTCATCTCCTCGCCTCCCTTCCCCTTTGCTCTCTTCCCTTCCTCACACTACAGCCTTCCTCTTTCCTCTCCTTCCGTCATCTTTCCTCTCCTCCCTTCCTCTTTCCTCACCTCCCTTCCTCTTTCCTCACCTCCCTTCCTCTTTCCTCACCTCCCTCCCTCTTCCCTCACCTCCCTCCCTCTTCCCTCACCTCCCTCCCTCTTCCCTCACCTCCCTCCCTCACACTACATCCGTGATCTTCATCCTGGTATTATATATGACACCTTCCCCGTCTCGCCTGGCTGGGCTACCCGACGCCTCACCCACCACCGACTGTGTATACACAACATACTGGTGTCATTCATGCAGTGTGTGTGTGTGTGTGTGTGTGTGTGTGTGTGTGTGTGTGTGTGTGTGTGTGTGTGTGTGTGTGTGTGTGTGTGTGTGTGTGTGTGTGTGTGTGTGTGTGTGTGTGTGTGTGTGTGTGTGTGTGTGTGTGTGTGTGTGTGTGTGTGTGTGTGTGTGTGTGTGTGTGTGTGTGTGTGTGTGTGTGTGTGTGTGTGTGTGTGTGTGTGTGTGTGTGTGTGTGTGTGTGTGTGTGTGTGTGTGTGTGTGTGTGTGTGTGTGTGTGTGTGTGTGTGTGTGTGTGTGTGTGTGTGTGTGTGTTCGTCCTCGCCTCGCAATACCTTCCTGCTTTCATTCATTCTTCCTTCTGCTTTCTTCTATCATTCATTCCTCCTCCTTCCTCAATTCATTCATTCCCCCTTGCCTCCCTACCCCTATTTATTCATTCCTCCCTTCCTGTTTTCTCCTATCATTCCTCTTCCTTCCTCCTATTATTAATTTTTCATACTCCTCCCTCCTTTACTCCCTTCCTCCCTTTTTTCCTCACTTCCTCCCTCTCTTCTTCAATTCCTCCCTCCTTTCCTCTCTTTCTCTTTTCCTTCCTCTCTTCCTCCCATCCTCCTACCTCTACTCCCCAGAGACTATTTTACATGAGAATGAATGAAAATTGTGAATAATCGCCAGAGTAAAAAGAGTTAGGTAGTTAAGTTCAATTACCCATATTTCCATAACCATTGAGAATCAGACTCACATTCATAAAACATTTTTAACTAGAAATTAACCAGAAAAATAAACTCCTGAGATAATGATATAAAATTCTGAGACACCCTGTATAATAAACTCCTGAGATACTGACATAACATTCTGAGAAATCCTGCATATATAGATGTTTTAATTTGCTGAGGCACCCTGTATATTTAGATGTTTAGACTAGGG